AGAATGGGAACAGTCACACTGGGATACAACACACAGCACTGCCAGAACAGTCACACTGGGGTACAACATACAGCGCTGCCCAACGGGAACAGTCACACTGGGATCGAGGATAACACACACACTGGGATTGAGAATAACATACACACTGGGATCGAGGATAACACACACGCTGGGATCGAGGACAACACACACCACCGCCCTCGTGCCCTGCCAGCACACACTGCCAAGGCACGGGGCAGCAATCACAGAATATTCAGAGCTGGAAGTGACCTGCAAGGATCAAGTCCAACTCTTGGCCTGAGCATCACACCATGTGCCTCAAAGCATTGTCCAAGTGCTTCTTGAGCTGGGTGAGGCTTGGGGCAGTGACCAGTTCCCTGTGGAGCTGTTCCAGTGTCCAAACGCTCTGAGTAAAAAATCTTTTTCTAATACCTAACCTGAAGCTGCCCTGACACAGCCTCAGACCATTCACAGAATCAGGTTGGAAGGGACCACAGTGATTCATCTGGTCCAACCTCCCTACCCAAGCAGGGCCAGCCCAGAGCACATGGCTCAGCATTGCATCCAGGCAGCTCTGGAGTATGTCCAGTGAGGGAGAATCCACCACCTCTCCGGGCAATCTGTTCAGTGCTCAGTCACTGCACAGGGAAGAAGTTATTCCTCATATTCATCACACAGTGCCAGGGAAGGGGGTAACAAATATACTTTTAATAGAAAACAATCAGTTTGGCAATAAACATTAAATAAAATTATGTACACCCACAGAGGTAAGAGATAAAACGGAATAAAACGGATTTGCTTCTTGGTCAAAGGTCATTTCTTGATTGCTGTTTCTTCATCAAGTCCCTCCTGGCACTCTCTGCCCACTCACCCGAGTATTTAGCTGATTAGTATTAAAATTTTTATGCTGAGGATTAAAAATTGGGTTTTGCAGGTATTGGTAGAGAGTATTTTTTTCAAGTTATTTGTATTACATTCAGGCATATAAATAATCAGAACAAGCCTAACTTTTGAGCAAACTCATTATTTACACGTCAACCTTAATTTAAATGATCTTGGTTTCAATTTGCTGAAATTCCTGCCTGATATAAACAAATTTAAAGCTTCTGAATCACTATCTGTGCTCAACAGACCTAAGTCAGAATCTTCTGCAGCTCAGTCCTGCACACCTGTAACGTAACACTCACTGCAACACCATCAGTGAATAAAACCCTGAAAATGGTCAAAACATAAACTTGTTGTTTTCATGCCACAAATAAACATGTATCTAATTTAGGAGTCAGAAATTAGCAGGAAGCTTTAACAGAAGAGAACTGGTGGAAAGCAGAGCCGTTTACTCAAGAGAGGTATAATCAAATGCTTCTGCTCCCCCAAAAAACTTGTGCAGGCAAATACAAAAAGGCATTGGCCTAGATTACCTGAAAGTCCAGATTGTAAACACAAACAAGTTGAAAACACTACCAAATTTAGCTTCAATAGAGATTTTTAGAGATTATCATCATTTAAGTTGACTATTTGGAATGCCACTCCTTCCTCTCACTGTTCAAAATTCATGAGACTGAAAACAAACCAGTTTCCCCTGGGAGGTTTACAAACACTAAAGCAAAGATTTGATCCTGCAGGTTGGGTGCTAAAACAAACATCCTCCCCCTCATGAGATGAACTGCGAACATAAAAAAAAGTCATCAGAAAGGACAGGGATAAGCTGCACTAAGATTAGGTTGCTGGAAACTCCTAAACAGATGAGACTGATTTTGTTTCTTCTTACTTTATGATTAATGACATGGCAAGCACCAGGACTTTCTTGTTGTTGGTTTTGCTTAGCTCTTTTCCACCATAATCATCAAATGAAATGAATCACAATCACAACAAATAATGTCTAGCAAGGCAAGGGTCAGAACAACAAAGTGGGAAGTTCCACCAAGATTCTCCAGAAGCAGCTACTTGGTTCAACATTCTGAGCTTGAACATTTGAACAGTCATTTCTTTTCTTTAGAGCTTTCCTTAAAAAAAAATGGGACCACCACAAAATGAGCAGGTCTTGTTAGCCACAGTCATAGAGGATATGCACATATATATGGTTCTGCTGAGGGGAACTCTGTTCTCACTGAAAAGAACAAAGGCAGCTCTGTAAATGTTTCTGGATGCTGAGAAGGGAATCATCTAACTAACGCCAAGAAATCCTCCACTGTTAAAACATAACAACAATCCTAAACTTCACATTGGGAACACGCAGACACAGCATTTAAATAAACTGAAGCTATACAACTGGCAGCCTGGACTCTGCTCTTCCTTTCCCAGAATGACTGGATTTAAGGCTCCTTTCAAGCATTTGAACAGGTAAGAATGTTAACGAGGGTTTAGACCTGTCTGCACAGTCAGACATTAAAGGAACACAGTCCAGAAAGCTTTAGTGTAGCTACTGTGTGGAATTCTACAGCCATCACGGTACTTCAGAGCCAAAAACCAAAGTAAGTTCGTGGCAGAAGATAAAAGTAAAGAAATAGACACAAAGGTCTGTGAAAACATCTCCCATTTTGCTGTAGGTGTCCATGGAGCGACTGATCACTTCTGCAGGGATTCCAGACAGTAGGAGAGCAGCAGTCAGGACTGTTGTTTTCACCTTCTTCTCAGACTAAAAGGAAAAGAAACAACAGCATTCTGTTAGTTCTTCTGTTACAATCCCATTCTGCTTTACCTGTGACCAATTTCACACATTCCAAATGCACTGGTAAGAGCAGCAGGTTTGGACTGATTCTCTCCAGACACACTCCAGGATTCACAACACTTCTAGCTACAGATTCTTGCTGGGATGGGTCCAGGGGAGCTGACCCAGGGGCTGGTCAACAGCAGATAAAATCCATCACAGATACTCTGCCTCCTTCACACAGCTTGGGGCTGTGCAGCAGCTCCTGCTGAGAGGGCAATCTTGCAGGAAGCCAAGCCTGGCACCTCCACTGGCAAACTGGATTCATCTCATCACACTACTTGGCAAAAAACAGAATCCAAGAATGCCAGAATGGTTTGGCTTGGAAGGACCTTAAAGCTCATCTTGTTCCAACCCCCTGCCCTGGGCAGGGACACCTTCCACTACACCAGGTTGCTCGAAAGCCCAGAAATGCTGTTAGTTTTCTACCAGAAAAATTACTTACAATTGAAAACCAACTGTTTCTGTGTTAGTGATTTGATGATACTCGCTGGATATCTTAATTTAAGCCAATCTAAATTAAGCTTTCAAGATTATTCCTAGGTTTCATGAGAGAAAAATGAAGATTAACAAATCGATTGACCTCATGTGGGTGTAAGTGCAGTAAAATCAAGTTGTGGAAAGGAATCACCTCTTGAAATTCTGAAACTGAAGAGCTGATTTTAAATACAGCAGAAACAAGATCAAGATGTAGCAGATGAGCTAGTGCAAATCTAAGGCTAATTCTACTGTCTTGTGTTGTGACATATCTGCTTAGAATGACTATTATAGTCTGCTTAACTACAAAAGAACTGCTGATTTATTCTGATTTTCTACAGGTAATCTATTATTCCTTTTAAAATGCAAATTTTCCCTTTTAACTATGCATTAAGCATCATTCAATCCCACTTTGCTCTGCAGACCTGACAAAATCATCAACCAAACAAATACTTCAGCACAAGTACCTGGTGTAAATATATGAAGCAAGTGATAGAGCAAATCTTGTTAATAAGCAGCAAGTTTCACACACGAATCAACGTCTCATTTCCAGCTGACATTCAAACTGACACCAGCAATGGAATGCAAACCTACAGACTGCTTCATTTTTCAGTGAACACCCTCCACATTTCATCCAGGCATTACATGCAGAACAGCTGCTGACAGAGCAAACAGTAACCAGAGAAGAGTGTGATCTAGGAGAAAGGCAAAACTTTTCCTGAAGACATGAAAGAACTACTTGGGTTTCCTGGTCAGACACTTTTAATTAGGCTACAGCTAAACAAGCTGCTAGTGCTTGTTTTCACAGCAATTTTAAAAAAGACCTGGACTAAATCTGAAAAGATTAAAAAACTGTATGTATAAACTATCAGCATTAGTAGCTCAACTCTACAGTTTAAGACTTCACATGCATTGGTCCTAAAACAATACAATCTAAACACAATTTTAAATTTGAAACACTTCAAATTAATCTACTTACGGAAAAAATATTTTACCTTGGGGAAGTACTTGGACAGTCCCATGTAAGCAAGTTGTAGAGTGAGAAACGGTGCAAATATTGACTGAAGGAACAGAAGAGAATATACAAAAATTAACTTGGTCAGAGGTAACAGCTAAGAAACACAGAAATTTTATGCTTCCTAAAGTCATAAATTAGTAGGTAAAAATTAATTTGTGGACATAACAACAGTATCGTTGAATACTGCAAACCTAAGTAGACAAGTTATGTGTCAAAAATAAGGTTCTGCCCTATTTCCTTTGGGCCTAAAGACCTGAAATCACAGAAGCAAAGAGCAGTGTGTAGAACTGAGCCCAGGGATCCAGGAGGCACCTCTGTGCTGCACTGGCAGGCATTAGGGATACTGAGGAACTACTTCTCTTGGACTGGTAAGATGTACTTATTTGGAGATAATTATTATTGTTCTTAAAATCAGAGTGGTTTGGATTGGAAAGGACCTTAAAGGCATGGGCAGGGATATCTTTCACAAGACCAGGCTGCTTCAAGCTCCATCCAAGCTGGCCTTGAACACTTTCAGGGATGAGAACTCAATTCTTACTGGATTATTCTTTCGTAGATTCCAAACTAGAAGAACAGCAGACTCCTATGCACACAAAGATGGGAATAAACTTGCACAAGACTTAAGCTGCAACAACTATTCCCATGCATTTGCTGCTCAAACACCTCAGAGCAAACGTGTGCTGCTCTCAGTGGTTATACAGTGGCTGTGTTAGGTACCAGATCCACCTCAGAAAATTCAGATTTTTTTAGGCCGTATATGGTTGTCGGAGATTTAAAGAGAGCCTGAAGTTCCCACGTTGGGTCACTACTGATAGCCTTCAGCCCTAGATAAAGAGTATTTCACCCAGCAGCATGAGAAAGCAGGACTGATCCCCTGAACTCACCAGGTACTTGCACACGAAGGCTCTGACCGCGACGGCGAGCAGAGCACATCCCACCAACCGGAAAATGCGGAAAGAGTCGAACTCCTCCCCCGCATTCCCATTCTCCTGGCTTGGCTTCTCGTGCATCAGCTGGTTCCTCAGCTTCAGAGCTTCATCAAACCTGGACAAGTACTGCTCCAAGCCCCTGGGTGGCCGTGGGGCAGCCTCAGAGGACAGCTCTGCCCGTCCACGGTGCCGGAGCTCTGCCGTGCCCTCGCCGAGCAGCTCTGGGGCTTTACTGAACAGGTCCTTGTCCCCTTTGAGCTCTGCCATGCTGTTTGCAGGGTCAGCCGTGCCTGACACACTGCAGACTGAGTCCCCAAGCACGATTCGCTTGGAGACTGAAGGAATGGGCAGGGAGTTTGATTTCTCTTCGTGCTGAAGCTTCGATTCTGCGTGACTTTCATCATCTGAAGGAGAGCAACAAAACCACAATGTTATTGCCACTGGGTACATGGAACAGCACTGTACCCACTATGGGTTGGGGTATTGGGTTGGTGTCTCCAGTTCTCAAGTGAAGAGCTAGATTGATGGTTCAAGAGGGCACTCTTTGTGGGGCAGACAGGACAAAAAGCTGTGCAGTGTGGGTCAGAAGTTGAAGTCAGTAATGGAGAAATGAAACCCCTGTGCTTCCTCATATGCACTGCATACACAAGAAGATCTTGCTCCAAATATATGGAGCGACATAAAACAAAAGACAAAGGTTTGCAGAAAGTGAATCAACCAAAAAGCATTACAGACTGACAAATGATCAGCAGTAAGTGCACTTTGGCTTGTTCTCCACTGTCAGAGGCAGAGCAGTGTTACCCTGCTCTGCATCAAACTTGAAAACTCATCCTACAGCCAAAGAAGTGATGGCAAAGAACACAAACCAAACCAGGAGACATGCAGAACAGGTCTGGTAATAGCAGAAAGCAAGAATCAATGCTTAAGGAGTACTTTTTGGCATCAAATCCGACTGATTCATGGCTCACAGCCATCCCTGCACACTGAAATCTGAGAACCCTTCCCTGACAACACACTCAGCTTGCTGGAAGCATGTACAGATCCATCAAGGACCCACCTATGATTCTGCAAGAAACCCTGCACGCCAACCACAAGCACCCAATGACGGGTCCTTTCCCAAACGCCAGACAACTGCTACAACACCCAGTTATGCACTCAGCATTCCTGGCTGGAAACGTGGGGAAGCCTTTCCGCTCGGAAAAGCCACTCGCAGTGAAGCGACAGCCTGTCTCTCGCCGCCAC